CTTGGTGTCAAATCCAACTTCAGACATATTCAAATAAGGAAAAAAATGTGTTTTACACAATCAATGGCTCACAGCAGACTTAAGCATAAAGAGGACAGAGCTTTAGAAACAGATGAGTTTTAGATGCAGAGAATGCCACGGAGTCCTTAAAAGCCCTATTATCTGCTTACTATTCATTAATTTAGTGAATCCCTAAGTGGCCCTTTGCTATTTTTAGTCCAAGCCTCCCCACTGGGGAGAAGCCTGCAGCCCGCCTGCCGCCTGCCTGGGTGGGTTTGCTACCCGCTGGGTCGAGCAGAGCTCCTTTGATTCCAGCTGCAGGCAGCGCCTGTGCTCAGCAGACAGCCTCTGGGTTCACGGCTCTGCTCTCACCTTTTCCAGTTCAAGTGCAGGGACGAGGTGGTGGCCAGCAGTCGAGCACAGGGTGCAGCTCATTGCTGTCACCACCAGTCCTGTGGGCTGATTTTTTCCTAAAACTGATCTGCATCGGCCCCTCGTTTCCATAAGGTTGAGGGCTAAAGCCCAGCAGTATTTGTAAAGAACAGAAAAATGTCCAAGCAGTTTGGACAGAGAAAGAGAGCCCCGTGAACTTGGGTCCAGAGCGTGTCTGAGGTCCCAGGGGAAAGCCAGGGGCCCCTCAGTCACCGCTGGGTCCTATGAGATGGCCGAAGAGCTGGAGAGCGTCCTTGACCCTCTGTCCTACCGATACCACTGCAGACATGTGCTTCAAGGGACAAAAACAAAGTTTTAATGCTCATAAATGTTGTAGAATTAGATGCTGGCTGTACAACTTTGTAAACATACTAAAAATCACTGAGTCCCACTTTTTAAAGGGTGAATGTTTATGGTATGTGAATTTTATCTCAATTTTTACAAAAACCGAGGAAACACCATTTAAAATACCAAATACGAGCAACAATCAAAATGCCTAATGACAGAATTTATATCACAGAATAAATGAGAGAATTTATTCTGGGACACTGAAAAAACTGAACAGAAATGAGCGATTAAAAGATGTATTAAGCTGATTGTCAATACATGAAGATTTAAACACATACATGTGTGCATATGTGAGAGAAATACTAGGTAAGGATGGACACATAGAGTATTACAGGCCAATTACAGGTCTTTATATCCTAATCTATCCCAGCTCACAGAACACAGATGTAAGGACACTGCAGGTGCCTCTCCCTGCACATCTGGAAGGAGGACAACATTTCCATTTGTGAAGAAGTTCCCCAGATGTCTGATTTAATCCTCAAAGTCATCCCCCTGGGTGCTAGGGGGTCTCAGCACTGTACCAAGGTCACCACCTTCAATTGGAGTGGGAACCCCGCCCCTCACTGCTTCCCTGCTACGAGATCTGGGTTTTCCCAGTAAAAACAGATACTTTAAAAAAAAGAAAAGAGAAGAAAAACAACTAAAAGCAGCTGCAATCCCTGCCAATATCTTCTGGGATCACTAAAAATAGAGACCCAGGCCAAGGGGAGAGGCTCAGCTGCTAGCTGGCGCCAGCTTACCATGCAGGGGGCTGGCGCTGCCCGAGCTCAGCCCGAAGACAGCGGCAGATGGGCTGGGAAATTGCTGGCCCTGCAGAGCACGTCTCCTGGCACCCGGGCTGGGGGCAGTATGGCTGGTGTGGACTTGGAGGGCCCTGCTGCCTCGGTCCCTGGGTAAGAGGCACGGAGCAGTCAGCCCGGTGCTCAAGGGTGACCCCGATCACGCTCCTCTCCCCTCGGCGGGGACAGGGAGTCTCCCCAGCGGGGACATCCTCAGGAAGCCTCCCACCTGGGAAGGCTTCTGCCCAGAAGGGAAACTGGGGCAGCAGAGAAAGCACCCTGAGCCCAGGGGCCAAATCTCTGTCACGAAAGACCAGGCTCCTCCTCCAGTCTGCAGAGCCTTTTCTGCATGCTGAGGGCCAGCCAGCTCGTGGCCACATACAGGTCACGGTCATGCCTATGGCCCCTGCTACTGCACCAGGAGAACCTGGCCAGGGGCCCAGGGCATCTGGGGCTCTTGGGTGCTGGGACTGCCAGGAGCAGCCCGGGGACAGACTGCTGGGAGCTGGTACTGAGGGATGGCTTCCTCCTCCTCCACCCCACCCAGGGGAGCAGGAGCCCGCCCAGACTCTGCAACCATCTCCTCCTCATCCAGAGGCTGCAGCAAAAGGAAAAAAAAAAAACAAAAATGCAGAGGGGCAGGAGCCAGGGAAGCTGCTGTCACCCGTTTGGATGTGGGTGTACGGGGCTTGGAAAGACTTCCAAATGACCTTGCAGGTCCCAAGTCCCTCTCCCAGGGCTGCAGCCAGGTTGGACGAGGACAGTTCCGCATCCCAGCCTGGCCTGCAGCCCCTCCCGTCCCGCTCAACACGGGAGCAGCTGGGCCAGTCAGGGCTGCACACCTGCAGGGGACAAGTGGGGACCCAGCAATGCCTGGCAGGGCCCGTGGAGAGGGACAGCTGGGGGACTCGAATCCTCCCCAGGAAGCAGCAGCCCAGGCTGAGCCCACCCAGTTGCACCTGCCCCCTAAGCCAGCGCCCTGCAGCCAGAGGGGTCTCCCCAGTCCCACCGGCCTCCTACCCCATCCCCAGGGCACACCCTGGGCCTGTGCAGGTGGCCAGTCCTCTCTCCCCGGCCTGAACTAGAGCCAAAGCAGGACAAGGCGACAGTGCGAGCTGTGTTCGCATCTCCAGAACTGCACGGGGACCTTCTTGGGACAAAACTCGTCCTTCAGGGCCAGGGATTTAGCTCAGTGGCTCCGGCGCCTGCCTTGCTAGCGCAAAGTCCTGAGTTCGATCCCCCGTACCAAAAACAAAAAAAATACAAAACTCGTCCTTCAGGCAGGCACATGGGAAGAAAAGAGCACGCGCACTCGCTCTGTTGCCAAAGTGCCCTGTGTCCCAAGCCCTCTTGCTGAGATGTGAGCCCTGACAGTCGCCCTGTTACCACTTGCTCTGGGCCTGCACATACAACTGAGGGTGGTCTGGCTGTGACATCTGTCGCCCCACTGATGGCCAGGGTTGATCTGGCTGATCTGGCTGGCCAGGTGGGGTCCCCTTCCTCCCTCAGTGCTCCACATGCGCCCCTCCCGAAGCTGTGCACTCGGTGGAAGACAACCGTTTCCTCGGTCAAGGGTATACGAGGACCTTTGGTCCCCTGCTAGAACCTCCAAACAAGCTCTCAGCCAACCGGGGACACCCAAGCCCAGCACAGCTGCAGGCCCAGCCTAAACAGAAACTTGGCTCATCCCTTTTGGGCCCCACCTTTGCTGGCTAAACCCCAGGGATGAACGAGCAAGCGAGTGGAGCCCTGGCTGAGGGTGCAGAGCCCCACTGAGTGGGAAGCATCATTTAGGGGCCCAGGAGCAGTGAGACCCACTTGCTGCCAAGGCCTTGCAGACAGAGCCTGGGGGCTTCTCCCTCAGGGGCAGGAACAGCCAGTCAGGCAAATGCTGGGGTTCAAACCCAAGCTCCTCCCACCACAGGCTCACCTGGGCCAGCAGTTCTGCTCAGGCTCTGCCTGTGTCTCTGTCGAGACCTCTGTCTTTCTCCAAAAGCCAGAGGCACCTTTGCCAGAACAACCAGGCGTCCAGGCTGCCGAGCCCCCAGCTCCAGCCCCACAGAGAACCCAAGTGCCATGCAGTAGCCAGAAGGAAGTGAGTGCCAGGGTGGCAGAGCTCAGAGCTAGCAGTGCCCCCAGACCTCCTGACCTCTTGGCTTTTTCCCACTCACGATGGGCACAGGAAGTTGCTCCCATAAAGGTGGGAGGATAGGAAACTGGTCTTCCAGGCTTGCCAGTGACAGGGCCAATCGAGGCAGTGGAAAGAGGTGCAGATGGGGTGGCAGTGTCACCTCCACCCACGCCCCCTGGGAGGTGTCCTTCAAGGCCGGGCTGGAAGTCCTGCCTCTCGCAGCACGGCCTGCCTGCAACCCCTGTGCTGGAGCTGCCCCCACCCCGTTAACCTTCGGGCGACCAGGGGAGGGCAGAGGCTGGGTCCCCACTTCTCCTGTGCAGCCCCTGACTCTCCATAGTGCTTCTAGCACTAAATACACATCACCAAAACCTTTTCCTTATCATTCCTACCTCATATCACAACGGGGGAAATGAAGAACACAATAAGAAATAGCTACTATTTATTATCATTATCATTATTATTATTGGGTAAGAACCAATGCTTTTAACGCGGTCATAGCTCAAAAACTGTGATACCAGGCTGGGGATTTAGCTCAGTGGTTCCGGCGCCTGCCTCACAAGCACAAGGTCGCAAGTTCGATCCCAGCCAGGTACCAAAAAAACAAAACAAAACAAAACTGTGATACCATTCCAGAGCTCAAGGTGACCTTAGCTGCTGTCACCTACAAAACGTGCTCAGGCCACAGCCAAGGAAGTGACTCGCCCAGGTCACCCTGCTGGAGGCAGACCCAGGGCTAAGAACAGGGGCCCGGACCCCAGGGGGCACTGTTCATTCGCTATTTAACCAGCACCGCTGAGGTGCGTGCCCTCCTGCAACCAAAGCTGGTGGGGAGAGACAGAGGACAGGGAATGACAAGGACAGCACAGCGAAGGGCCGGGCAGGGAGTCTGCTGCACTGTGAGTCAATAAAGGCTTCCATAGTGCTAGGACAGCACACGGGAGGGCTGGGGAGAGGAGGAAACAGAGAATCCCTAGGCAAAGCCTGCCTCGAGCAACTAGAGGTGTGCAAAGCCCTCGCATGGCTCTGGTGGTGTCCATCGCTCTCGCCTAAACCCAGGCCAGAGTCCAGCCCTTGCGGCTGGCCACCCATTTGGGTGTCCACGCCAGGTGCGTGTCACCACACCAAACGCCCCTATGGGTAGCAGTGACAACGTGAGTTCTTCCAGCAGGCACCCTGCAGACTGGCTGGCTGCAGAGCAGGGCACACAGCAGGCCCGGGAGGCCAACCATGCACCAGCAGAGCCTCCCGCTCCAGCCCACAGGGCCCACACTGTGCCTGACACCACAGCATGTGGGCCACTCACGCACCTTCTGCATCCACGGTCTCCTTCATGATGATCTCCACCCGCTCCACATGGTGCCGGTTCCAGAGGCCATCCAGGGCCTTGCGGTTCTGGTCTCGGAAGGGCAGGATCTGAGCCACAGCCTGCCAGGGAGGAAGAGCATCACTCGCAGCTCTGCTGGGACTGGGGGACCCAGGAGTGCTGGCTCCCAGGCTTTAGGCCGCCATCCCTGCTCAGTGGGGCCAAGCACTCTCGGAAGAGCTCCTGCACTCCAGGGTTTCACAGTCCAGTAAAGATGCCACAGGACCAGGCTTGGTGGCGCACACCTGTAATCCTAGCACTTGGGAGGCTAAGACAGGAAGACTGCTGCAAGTTCAAGACCAGCCTGGACTCCAGTGACACCCTGCCTCAAACAAAACAAAACAAAAAAAGATGCCACAAACAGAAGCGACTTGAACAGTTACTAGCCACAAAGAACATTTGAGAATTACCTCTGTCCTCTGACTACCAACTTTTAATAAAAGAAAGGTATTTCAATGCCAAAAATGTAGCAAGAAAAGCTACCCAAGGAATGCACTTGGTATTTCCTCTCCTTTTGAAGTTAACAAGTGAAAACCTCACCAGGACTGGCCATGGCCAGAGACTACTCTTTGGGACTGTTACTATGGCAACTGCCCGGGCTGGATGGAAAGCCAAGCCTGCCGCACGTAATACCTGGGGCCGACTCATGGCCAGCTCAGTAGTCTGTGGACCCAAGAGCATAGCTGCCATGAGCCCTCTGCTCAGGCTGCTGGGCTGAGTGCCCTGGCCATGGACCTGTCAGCCCCAGGAGATGCCCCAGGCTCCTGCCTTGGGGCTTGGCTGAGCTTCGTGGGCTTAGGGTGCCCAGTGCACCCAATCAGTTTCAAGATCTTGTTACCAGCCATCTGGCTTAAAACAGAATTTAGGAAGAAAGGGATTCTGAAAAAGGCAGATGGGTACAAGATAAGGAAGCTAATTCTGAATCCCAAGGCTCCTCAATGGGAAGCCATGGCCCTGGGCCACCTCCGTAGAGAAGGCAAGGCAACGCTGAGAATTACAGCCCAGATTCTGGCCAGGAAGAATGGGGACAGGGATACACAGAGAACAGGAGGCTGGACACACAGACAAGAACTGGGGGGCCCCTGGCTTTCTGCTCCCTCCCTCTTCGTGTCCATCTGTGGAAAGATTGTGGGGTTCAGCATCCACAAGGCCTGGGGCCCTCCTGATTCTACAATAAGTGGTGGGCCCTGCTGACGAGGTCCCCTGGCACCTGCAGGCTCCCAGCTGCAGCTCACCTGCTTGCCCAGGTAATGGTCCACCCGGTACATCTCCTCCTCCTGGAAAAAGCTCCCAAGTTCAGTGGCCAGCTGCTGGGCAGAGAGGTGGTCATGGCCAAAGGGTTTCTCAAAGACAACCCGCAGCCAGGCACCCGGGCCTGGCCGGCAGCTGCTGTTGATGTTGCGGGCAATGTCCACATAGGCAAAGGGTGGCACGGAGAAGTAGAAAATCCTGCCAGCCTCCCGGAGGTCCTCTTGCTTGACCTGTGCCTCAATGTCCTTGCTCAGTGTCCGATAGTCTTCGGCTGTCTTCAGCTGGCGGTACTGGCTCAGGCGCAGGAACTGATCCTTGAGTTCAGCACAGTGACTAGGTGCCATGTCACTGGGGCAGGAGAGGGATTCCAGGGCCTTGGCCATCAGCTTCCAGCCCTGCTCGGGTGCCGTCAGAGCAGCCCCATGGAAGCTAAAACTATGGTCCTTCCCCACCTCGTCCAGGTAGAGCTGGAACAGTCCCTGCCACAAGTACTTCTTAGCCAGGTCCCCGGTCGCTCCCAGCAGGACGATGGAGACGTGTCCCCGGAGCTCCTGGGCCTGCAGGCAGCCCACGAGGGCCACGCACATGGCCACCGTGAGCATCTTCCAAAGGCCTGGGTGCCTGGGTGCACGGGAAAAACAGACAAGGGTTCAGACGCGCTCAGCTGGCTGGCATGGGAAGCAAACAGACGTCTAGGGTATCGAATATTTCCTGCCTGGTGAGAGCCAGACTCAGGTTTCCTGGGAAAACGTTACAGGCCCGTGGTTTCCCCTCCCTCCTGGGCCGCGAGGCATCTGTGCCAGGCAGTCAGCAGTAGGAAGCCTGCCCCGAAAACAGGAATTATGCCTGGAAAAGTCATGGGCCACGCAGTAGAGACAGGTCATTCTGCTGCCAAGAGCCTGGGCAGTGGCAAAGCCACCCGAGACGCTTCCAAGGAGGCTGAGGCTGGAGCATCCACTGTGTGACCTCAGCCAGTGTCATCCACAAGGGTGGACCAGGCAGGTGACCCTAGCCCAGGAGTGGTGGTCTCAGGGGATGGCTGAGTGGCATGAGGATGACCTCTTCTCACCCCTTGCTTGGCTCTGGCCCGTGTCTACTGGACTCCACACACAAAATCACTACTCACAAGGGCTCAGTGTAGGGATTAAGCATGGATCCTGGGTCCGGGGTTGTGGCCCGGGCAAAGGTTCTAGGCTCGAACCTCAGCACTGCAAAAGGGAAAGAACAGACTATGGGACTCACTGCCTGACTGTAAATCCCTATCTGACTCCTTCATATTGGACAGTTATTCAACCTGGCTGCATCTCCATTTCTCTAGCACAAGTTAATGTTTAGAATATGTTTGGGCCAGCGTCTGCCACCTTTGAAGCGCCAAGTAATGGCAGAGGTTCTGATGGAACAGTGACGATGGCAGCAAATGTCTAGGTGTCCTGTGTGCCCGACATGGAACCCCTACTGCGGTGCGTTAGGTCTCCCCACACCCACAAGAGAGCCCTGAAGAATCACACAGAGCAGATTCCATTCCAGTCGCCCCTTTTGCAGATGGCAAAGCTAAGGCTTAGCTGGATGAAGCTCCCACAGTGAGAAAGTGGGGTGCAGGGACTGATGAGCTCCTCGGCTCCCAGGCAGTCCCATGCCTGGAGCCCCTGGGAACAAACCTGCCATGCCACCTGCTTTCAGCCTGATTCCAAGCAGTGCCAGTTCTGAGCAGGTCACAAACGCTCAAGTTTTTGCTTTCTCTGGCCTCTGTGCAGGGTCCATGTGTGGATCTGTTCCCCCTGACCCCCAGGTCTCTCCTTCCCCATGGAGGCTGGGCTTTGGGGAAGGAACAGAAGGAAGACGGGAGAGAAGGCATCGTGCCTGGCACCATGGCCATCGGAAGTAGATGGTGGAAACAGGGCCACATCTGGGGTAGGAGAGTGAAGGAGAAACCAGGGTGACTGACGGCATCATTCTATGCCAGCCTCACCACCTGGCAGAGGGTGGACAGGACCTGCAACAGCCACAGCAGGCTGTCATACAGATAGGGAAACTGAGGTTAGACAGGAAAACTGGACTTATGAAACGCCAGCTTGCTGCCCACCATGCCTGCACAGAGGGCCCGAATTCCCTTCCCCTGCTCCATCTGCCCAAGGTGGCCCTAGTCACGGCCAAGCCAAGACGAAGGCCCGGTAGGTGCCCACACTGGAGTCCACTGGACAGCTGACATCGCCCCGATCGTAGGGCCCTCCCAGGCGCCTCCGTGTTTCCTCTCTCGCTCTCCTCAGCTGCTCTTGCTCCCAAATGCAGACAGACCCCAGGACCATTCTACTTCCTGCTCCCCGGTCCCTGTCCTTGGCCCTCCCGTGTTTTTCTCCACTGGAAATCCCCCTGCCCAGAGGGGAGGAAAAGCTGCAAGGTCAGTTCGGGAGAGCAGAGTGGCAGGGAGAAATCTGAAGCCCAGAGAACAGCCTAGAGAACAGCAAGGTGCCAGCTGGCAGCTTCGTCTCAAACTCCTAATCAGATCCTGGGAGCCAGGGCTCCGGATGCACCTGGCACAAGGGAGGAGCGGGTGGGCAGGTGGGGGAGCCCAAGGCCAGCACCCCACCCCCAAGGAAAGCCTGGATGGATGGCGCCAGGCCCACAGAGCCTCTGCCCTCTAATTAACCCAGTTCCTGCTCCAAAGGCCAAAATCCTCCCCACCCAGCCCTGGCCCAGGCAGTCACCTTTATCTTGTATGTCCCCAGCCTTCCTGTAAGCACACACAGAACCAGCTATTTCTCTTTCTTTCTTTCTTTCTTTCTTTCTTTCTTTCTTTCTTTCTTTCTTTCTTTCTTTCTTTCGAGACAGGGTCTCCCTTTGTAGTACAGGCTGCCTCTAAACTCACTATGTAGCCCAGGCTGGCCTCAAACTCACGGTGATCCTCCTGCCTCAGCCTCCCCAGTGCTGGGATTACAGGCTGTGCCACTGTGCCTGGCTCAAGTACCAGCTATTTCAACACGGTTGCTTACTCTGGTTGCTCAACAGCTCTGTCCTAAATCAGCATAATCAGCAGTATAGGTAGGGTTTGTGTGTGTGTGTGTGTTTTTATTACCAATGTTTTACCCTGAACAATGTTGCTCAAACTTTCAATATGTATTTGAATTTCCTGGGATATTCGAAAATGCAGATTCTGGGGTGGGGGACGTAGCTCAGTGGCACCGGGCCTGCCTGGCAACCACAAGCTCCTGAGTTAAATTCCCAGTGCTCCCCTCAAAAATAAAAAATAAAATGCTGATTCTGAAACAGAAGCTCAGGGAAGGGACCTGGTCCAAGAAGCACACTTTGAGCACCAAGCTTCCAGAGTGCTGAACAGGGCATCGGAACCAACATGAACACATCTGAATGGGGCATGGTGCCGCACAACTGTGATCCCAGCTACTTTGGAGACTGAGGCAAGAGGATTCCAAGTTAGAGGCCAGCCTGGGCAACTTAGGGAGACCCTGTCTCAAAGTAAAAATAGCAATTTTTTTTTAAAAGGCTGGGGATGCAACTCAGAGACAGAGCACCTGCCTAGCATTCGAGAGGCCCTGGATTCAATCCCCAGGGCTGAGGGGTGGGGGGCAAAGGCACACACCTGGTCCTCCGTCCTCTACTCACATCACCCAGAAAATGCAGCTGTGATTCAGCAGGTGCAGGGCAGGTCCACATATGGCTTATTTCCAAACAGCCTTGGCTGGTTTTCTTGACCCAATCCTCTGAAACAACTGAGTCAAATAATAAGCCCCGTGTTGAGCAAGTAGTCAGCGTGTGCAAAGGAAGAAACTGGGAGGAAATGCACTGTGAAGTGGCAAACCCCGAGCCTGGCTCGCTGCAGTAAGCGGCTTCCTTAGGCAATAGCAGCATGCAATCTTGGGGCCTCAGGCCTTGGGCTCCACACTGCTAAACCCTCAGGAAAACTGGTCAGCTTGAGTCCTGGTTTCTCCATCTGTGAAACAGGACCGATGCCACCAACCAGAAGGAGGGAAGGCTGTGTGGAGGAACGGGATGGTGCATGTGATAAAATCATTACACAGCGTTCACAAATTGAACCAATTACACGTAAGGCAGAGGCGAGGTCCTGGGAAGACAGAGCACCGGCTTTCTTCTGTGATCCACACTGCCTCCCTCACACTGCGAGGCTGGACCCTTTCAGGCCTTACTTCTCCCCGGCTGTCTCACCTGCTCTGACAGGGAGATAAAATAAATCTACCAAAACTGAAGACTTGAAGTTCGCCAAAAAAGCCCAGAAGCAGCCATCTAATAACTGATCCGACGATGAATTTTTTCCTCTCTTTTTTAAATTAAGAAATTGACACGAAAACCTTTAGTGAGAAGTCTGACACAGTGGAGGACAAGGACAGGGTACTGGATTGGGAACTAAAAAGTGTGGTCCTTCCTGTCCAGGCCAGGGACACCACGTAACCTTGAATGAGTCATTACCCCAGTGGGGCCTCAACACCTTCTCCTAGGAAAGGAGTGAGTGCAGCGGGGATATTTTACTGCCACTCATCCTATGTTTTCCAAGGAAAAGGGCCCCCATCTTGCAATCATCGAGGTGCTTCTGCCTTCCTGAGCTGCAGGGGGTTGCTTTGAGGGCTGGGAAAACAGGGTGATACATTATGATCAAGTAGCTGGCTGCCAGTGGCCTTCAAAAGTTAAGACTTGGGAGAGGAGGGCACATTCCCATTTGCATCAGTCCTGCAAGAAACCAGCTAGCGATGTACCTGCCCGAAGTGTGGCAGGGTGTGGGGCAGTGGGGGCTCCCGGGTAGCTGTGAGAGGCTCTGGCTGCTCCCCCGGAGTCGGGAAGAACTGTGAGTGCCGGCGGCCAGTCCCCAAACCCAGGGCTGCCCACCTCCAGTCTGGGGCCAAGCTGGGGCAGACTCACTTGTTCGATAAGGGCTTCGATACCATCGCAGAAGGGGGGGCCCCAAGCTGGCTCTGGTCCTTGCTTCTGCCCAAGTAGGAGAGGACACACGCCCAGTGCCAGCCAGGTCTCCCAGCAGAGCAGCTACCCATCAGCACAGGTGGAGCCGTTCCGAGGCTGTGCCAGGCTCACACAGGGCAGGAGGACGGTGCAGGGGAGAAGGGTGGGGTGCCACTGGTGTCCCCTGTGTTTCCCTCCCAGCCCCCACAGCGCCTCTGCAATGCCGCCTCTGGTGTAGGGGGCAGGAGGAGGGACGCGTTCTCCGAATCACAGCAGCCTGTTAGTATGTTCTTTAAAAAAGGACATGGGAAGAGCCCTCATTCCCTCATTTAACTGAGGGTTAAACCCAGGTCTCGTGCATGCTAAGACAGCTCTCCCGACCAGTGAGCTATGCCCTGTGGCCCACACCTCTTTAGGGACCAACTGTGGCTCACCAGAACCAAGGATGTGCCAGAACCACTGTGTACCAACGTACAAGATTTGATTGATAGATTGTCAGGAATTTTTGAAGCCAGTTGTTAAATAGCCATTCTTAAAAATGAAATTATACAAATGTATAATTAAATAATTTATGTTAAAACAAAAGTAGCTGGGCGTGGTGGTGCACAGCTGTAATCCCAGCACTCTGGAGGCTGAGGCAGGAGGATCGCCACAGGTTCACGGCCAACCTGAGCTACATAGTGAGTCCACGGCCAGGCTGAACTGCATAGCGAGATCCTGTCTCAACTCCCTTCCCGCAAAAATTACCAAAAACAAGTAATGAACAAAACTCAGGACCTCCTCATCATGTAACAACTCTTCCCTGTCATCTTCGCCCTGACATTACCCACAGCTACTGCAGCTGGAAGGTAAAGACGGTCTACCGGGTGCGCCTGAGTTTGGCTGGTGTGGGACTATTTCCCCACTCCCGGCCCCCGCCCCGCAGAGCCCACTGATAAACATTCACCAGGGCACAGCTGCGTGGGTGTGCCAGGCTGGACTTTCCCCCTGAGCTCTGGCCTGGGACTATCGACCATGTTAGTTGGACGCCCACCAGATTTAACTGCGTCAAAACTGAGCTGATTCACTCCCCACCCTGGCTCACACAAAGTTCCCCCGATTCTCAGCAAACAGCAGCTCCACCCTTCCGGGTGTTTAGGCCCCTAACCCTGGGGCAAACCTGATGGCTTCTGTCTTCAAACTGCACCTAGAAAGCAGCTGCTTTTCCAACTTCCGCCCCGCCCCAACTGCCCTGCATCTATAGTTCAGCCTCAGCACCACAGTCAGGGGGATCCCTCCTACCATGGGTCGGACTCTATCACTCCTCTGTTCAGAGGTCCGAAGGGTCCATGTGTCCTGGCCTCCCACCAGTCACTTCTCTGACCCACCTCCTACTATGCTGCCTCTCTGTAGGACCCAGCTGCCCATGCTCCTGCCTCAGGGCCTTTGCACCTGTTGTACCCTCTGCCTGGCCTACCTCCCCCCACTGATGCCCACACGGTCCATGCCTCACGGGCTTCAGCTCTTGGTTGAAATAGCACCTGCTCTGTGAGGCTCTCAGGCCACTCTGCTGCACTGTGACTCTGCCCCTACATCTCACACTCTCCATGCCCTTCCCCTGTTACTGATCTCTGAGACACATATACGCTGGTGATTCCATTTATCTTGCTAACTGTGTGCCCTCTTGCCCCCCAAGAAAGGAAGTTCAATGAGGACGGGAGCTCTTGTCTGTTTTGCCCACTGCAATATCTCCAGGGCCTGGCACAGAGAAGGCTTTCTATAAACATTTGCTGGAGAAAAATAAAGAAATAAATCTCATTTGCACAAATAAATAAATTGAATCCCACTGTCACCTTGTATATGAGGGCCCCCATGGGAATGAAGGCACGGGGAAGAGCAGGAAGGGGGATCCAAGCACTGCAGCCCAGCAGCTGCTTACGGCTCGCTCTAACACTATTAATACTAAGAGCTATTTATAGAGGGTTCCACCAGACGCCCAACACGAGGCCGACACTTTGACATGAATCACACCGCTCAATTCTCACAACTCTGTGAGGCCGCTACTAAAATCAACCCCACGTTTAGCGCAAGGAGAGGGGAACTGAAGGTACAGAGAGGTAAAATAACCTGCTGCCGGCCAGACAGCTCGGAGGGGACAAGGTTAGAATATAAGCAGTCTGGTTCCTCTGCTAACAAACCACCTGTGAAGTTTGCGGCGGCTCTGCCCCCACAGGTGAAACTGAACACATTGTCTTAGACAACAGTTCTGCTTCTCCTCAAGACAGGAGCTACAGCGGCTGGGCCTGGACCAGCTCTGTCACTTGCGCCAGCCGGCTGGGAGCAGCCCTGCTCCGGGGACGTCAAGATGCCTGGAACACTTACGGCTGCTAAGGGGTGCCCACCTCCTGTCCACTTGGCCAGCCACTCACACTCCCTGCTTCGGGCTTTAGAGGAAGACTGCGTGCGGAAGCCTGAGTTCACCCCATAAAACCCAGGAGGCTCTGGAGACAGTTTCTAGAGACCAAGTTCAGCAGCCAGGTGGCCTCAGACAAGTTATTTAACCTCTCCGTACCTCTGCCACAGAACAGGAAAACCGCTGGGTTACAGGCACATACGGAGATAATCCTGGTAAGGCACTGAGCAAATGCCTGGCAGACAGGAAGCACTCAGAAATGTTAGCTTCCAGCATGGAAAGCTAGCACCGCGAACCAAGGCACTTCCTGCCAGCTTCTTGGAACAACTAGAAAATCGTGTGAGCATCTCACCTCACCAAAAATGACAAGGGATGGCTCGTGACAGCTTACCTGCATCTTCCCACCATGCCAATAAAATGCAAAAGGGGGACAATGTTGGCGTGACTGAAATGTCCCAACCTCAGTCCTTAGCGGTTTATCATGTGGCCAGGAGAATAAAAAGTACAAAGGGGAAACCTCTCTGGTGGCCCTGCCCCCTGAGCTTCATTGCTCTGGGCCGCTTTCTCCAGCTGTGAAATGGGGACGATTTACCCCTCTTAAGGTCTGGCCAGAACAAACCAGATCAAGATGCACCCAAAAACGCTTTGGCGGGACACGGTGCCGACAGATCTCCTGAGCCACTGTCACCTGACCCCCGACTCAGGACAGAGAAAAGCAACACCAGACACCTGCTCCTGGCCAGGTCCGCGTGCTTGGGATAGGGGCTGGCGCCAGCCGATGACATTTTGCCTTGTTCAGATTCCATAAATAGATGGAGTAGCGACCAGGCCACAGATGATAAAGATTCCCTTCCATTTCCCTTTGAAATGGTCCCAAACCGTCCAGACAGTAACTTAGTAAACTCCAGTCTTTAGATAAAAACAAATTTCGTACAAGTGCAGTTTTGTGTTGAGCAGTCTTGTGTTTCAAAGAAACCCCTACACCACGAGCTGTCTGAAAGCGGAGCTCTGCTGCCGCCAAGAACAGCACTTCTATCTGGTGTTCCCCAAATTTCCCAACAGATTCGCCTCCTGAGCTGGGAATCCCACCGGCCAGCCATCGCTGCAGAATGCAGACTAGAACTTAAAAAGTGCCCGTTCCACACCACTCTCCGGTCCTCTGCTACCTATCCCGGGAAGAAGCAGGGCAGAGATCCCGCCCTTCTGGTGTGTCCAGGACCCTATTTCTGGCTCAGCCCTGCAGACCTCCCGGAAGCCACTTCCTGGACCTGCGTATCGTATCGGAAACGCTGTCTGCAACCGAGGGCCAAAGCCCGGGGGAAGCACAGAGCTCCATCTTTGGACGTCATTGCAGGAAGCCTAGCAAAGGGGCGTGCGGGGACCTCGGGTGACCCCGGAAGGGCCCCGGTCGCCCCCTAGGGACGCCCCCGGCTGGGCTCGGCGGGTGGCGACCCCGTACTAAGCGCAAGGAGGCCGGGCGCGCGGGGTCGCGGCCCAGCGAGCGATCGGGGTGCAGCTTACTTCATCCGCGGAGGCCCGCGCCGCCTCTTCCTCGGGGTGCGCGCGACCAAGTGTGGCCCGCGTCGGGACCCAGCGTGCCCGGCCTTGGGGCCCCGGGCGCGCGCCGTGGCCCGCGGCGAAAGACGCGCGCGCGCGCAGCGGCCGCCAGCCGGGGGCGCGTGGAGGGGCGGGGTTTGGCGGCTCTACCACGCCTTGGTGTGACGTCACCGGGGAGGGCGAGGCCTCGCTATGCTGCTCCCACCTCTGGGTGCTCCGTCCTCGCCGCTGTTCCGGGAACGGCACACGCTCCCAGAGATGCCGAGGCACCTGGCTCTGTCGAGGAGGAGCCCCGTGGCCTGGTTTCTGGGTCCTGCTCAGGGACTGGCACAGGTCATCTGACCTCTCCCGCCCTAATCCTAACCCCCATCCGTGGGATGTGCGGCCCGGTGCATCCCATCGCCAACTCCCAGGCGTGGTATTCAAGGGTCGGGGCGCACTCTTGCCACGGCCCCACCAGACGGCCTCGATCTCACACTCATAGTCCCTGTGTCGGGGAGACTGCCCACCTCTGAACAGCGGGTGCGGTGGGAATACCTCCCCTAGAGGTGACTGGCAGGACAAAGGCTGAGGAATGGAGGCTTGTACCTGTGGGACGTTAACAGACAGGCCTGTAATCTTAGCCCTCTGGGAGGCTGAGGCAGGAGAATCACAAATTCAGGCCCATCCTGGGCCAGACCCTGTCTCAAAAAAAAAAGTTGCCAGGTGTGGTGGCCCGCGCCTATAATCCCAGCAGTCAGGAGGCAGAGGCAGGGGAATCGCTGTGAGTTAGAAACCAGCCTGGGCTACATAGTGAGCTCAAGGCCACCCTGAACTACATCGTGAAATCCTGTCTCAAAAAATAAATAAATATATATATAAATAAATAACAGTTAAGGAGGGTGTACCTTGGAGTGACCGTCTGGGTTCAACCCCTGGTGCGGGCAAGGGGTTCCCTGGGTGGTGACAAGTATATATAAATGGAGGAACAGGGTCAG